ACTTCATACGGTCAAAACATAAAATACGAATTATTAACCTTTAAAACTGAATTTATTGTCAATTTAAAATTTCAGTCAGAGGGTGATTTTTTACAACTCTCTTGAAGGAAGCGCGATTCCTGCATAATTTGAGGCTTGAATCTAGCTTGTTCCTGATAGATACACTTCTATAATAAAACGTTTAATGGCCTGTTGCATGCGCAGTTTTTAAAAGAGGAATGTTAAGTTGTTGAAAGCTCCTGGTTTAATTATACGTCCAGATACGCTGCCTCTTCTAATAAACTATATAAACAAAGTTGTTAAGTTTTCAGGCGCTTGACCCGTCATACATTTAAATGTTAAGGTAGCATCTCGACAACACAGTTTTGTTTTTACAGGGAGCCAAGTAACGTAGATTTCTTAACACAGGAGAGACATGGTCGTAATTCTTTACCTTGCAAATAATTCGGGCGGCAAAGTTTTGAACGTATTGTAATTTATACGAACATTACAGGCTTAGGTGGATGACCGTACTGACGAACAGTATTTTAGATTTTAGCCCTGGCTAAATCTATATATTAGTGACATAAAGCAAGATATTCCATCAAATTTCATCAGGGACTGGCACTTAAACTCATACCTAAGTTCGTTACTTAATTTCGCGTTGGAGACCCGTGAATAAAAATCCCCGCGAAATTTAATGCCCATAATAGAAAATTCAAATCACAGAAAAAATGCCTTAATCAGATCAACATGTACTGTACGGATATATATTTGTCGACAAATAGTGACAAATTACCATATTATTTAGCTGTGATGGTTTTACTGGTAACTTCCAATCCGTGGCTATATCTTCTGCTCTATCAGTTGTGAAGTATCGTTAATATTCATTTTGTTTGTTTCTTTTTATCTCGATATTTTAAAACGTTCAGACGTTTGAAAAATAAAATCAAGTTGAGAACGCTTGAATCGCGAAATTTTTAAAATTTGCTTACTGAAATCGCGAAAATAAAACCTCGCAAAATGCTGTTTTGCCAAAATCGGGAAATTAAATTTTCGCGAAATTTAGTACCAATACGCGTACGGTATACTGTAATGTTCATTAGAGGGAAGTGATTTCTGCAGGAATAGCATTAAAACTTAGGCCAACTTTGCCTTTGTAACAGACAGGAAGTTTTAATACCTAAATATAGTCTTAGATAATAAAACTGGACCATTATTATTGAAATTCAATTAATGCGCCCGAAGGCACGATTTAGCTTTTTGAAAACCCGGGGGGGGGGACTTCCATTTATAAACTATATAGGTATGTGCCGACCCAAAGGATATGGTTTTTGGGCCTTTTTGGTCTGAAAACGGGTATGCACTTTGCCCATTTTGGTCTGGAATCGGGTATGGTTTTTGAGAGAACTACGGGAGTGTATGAAGGTCAGGATTTGAAGAACCGGGGCGGCACTCCCCCACGAAGAATTTCCAGGAGTCCCCCCCCCCGGGTTGAAAAGAAAGCAAATAGCATGACATAACCTCTATCGGTTACCATGGCTTTTTTTGTCAGCTCGAATCAAATGCTCTTAATTATTCACACATAAAGTGAGGGCATGATATTGTACGCCAGTAATTAAAAATAAAACTTTGGGTGAATCCTTCCGTAAAGTTCATGACGATATTCGAGTTTCAATCGGACGACAAGTTTGTACGTTCCTATAACCCCAAATTTTATATAAGTTTATGAATAAGTCCTAAAACTCAGTTTTGTTGATCATTTTAATCCAGTATCTTCCATTCATTCCTTTCACACGTCAATCACAGAATGATAATCTGTTTGTTAAATCGGTTTATACCGTTCCTTACGGCATTCGTTTCTCCGTTACACTGGTACCAACCTTTGGAATTCTTTATCTATTAAGAAAATCAAGCCGTTTTCTAGTCTTCATCAAAATATCAAAAATTCTGTGATTGATGGTTATAATAAATGTTATTAATTCCTGCAGGTTTATGATTATATTATCTTTAGCTACTATTTATTTGTAATATTATTTATCTAAAACAACTATTTTGTCACTATATTCCTTCTACTCGTTTTTCTTGTTTTGGGTCTCCAACTCGGTTTTATATATTTCTATGAACATTTTAGGTGTCTCAAACTATGCACAATGAACCTAAAATTGAAAAATTTCTTTGCCCTCGTGACAGATGTAAACAAACGAAACAAGTTCAAAAGACAAGTTTTAGAGGTAGCGTGGGTTAGTCTTAAAACTTCACTGTATCATCAGTAGTTTGTGCAACAAATCAACTAGTAGCTGTCGTAGCTGCGCCGTTTTTACACAGAGGTAATCAAACTTTTTTTTGTAGATAAAATTTACCACACCGAACTTCACAGAACTTGGACTTTTCAGACTCCTTTCTACGTCATCAAATTTTTCGTCGGCAAATCAAAAACTAAATCGCCGCTACTTTAATACTTATACGAAATACGGTGAAATGTATAAATTTCTGTAGTTTAGAGAAACTTATAATCTAACAGAGCACGAGTATTCTCATAAAATATACGTACTATTTTGCAAAATACAATTCTTTTTGAGACCGGAGCACTGACCGAAGTTGTTTCAGGTAAGCTTGAAACTACACTTTATACGCTATCCAGAGTACCTTTAGATCTCTAGAAATGAATTCTAAGGGCGCTTTAAAATTTGTATCTGTTCGGTCATCCTAGAGCAACCTGAGTCTTTCGAAATTACAAGGGCTTCAATTTTAATCCCGAAAATTTTAGATGCAGTTTAAAACTTTTAATTTACCGATTTTTTCTGATTACTCTTAAAAATTATAGGTTTCTTTTTCCTACGAAAGATAGCTTAACATGGGGAGGGAAACGAGACAATTTAAACTGACTTCAGAAAATCGTGGGGAATTTGTAAGATAAGCTTCGCTAAATCCTAAATGAATATAACGGTCATCGAGAAATTTACAACTGTCGTCAAGCTACAGACAATTCGACTGAATGTTTGTTTCCTCGAACACATATTTCACAGAAGACAGAATGATGTACCCGCGCAAAAAAAGCAAAAAAATATAAGCAGTTTATTATAATCAAACAAATTCTAAACTTATTAAAAGACCTTTAAGCCGTCCGATAATAACCTTATTCCACATAAAACGGGAGGAAAAAAATTTCCGAAAAATGATAGAAGAGAAAAAGAGAAAGCGCTTTGTAATATTTTAATGCTGTGTCGCTATTTCAAATTACATACCATAAAATGGGTCGCATAATAAGCAAGTTTCGTTTTGTTTGTTTTGCTCTGTTTTGTTTTGTTTTTTTCTTTATTCCTCGTACTTGGCTCAGGAATAGCTAGAAAATTTGAAAATGTGAAGAAGCATTATTTTATTACTTGAAGGCTAAAAGTTTTAAAACTGATAAACACCCAAATTCAGAAAAAAAACCTTTGTTACTTGCTAAATAGTTTTCGCATACAGGTACGATGAATTCGCGCTCTCTTTCAAGAAAAAGAAGGAAGAAATTTAAACTCTTTGAGCGTTGAATCTCGCAGCTGGTAAAGGCAAATATCCACTAATATATAAAACACTCAGCAGGGAAGGGCTGAGGCCCACATAAGTTTGAGTGAAGTCTCTTGAACTACTGGTTTTTCTTGTCCTCACAGACTGATTCCACTAAAGCAAAAGCGGAGCCATGTTGCAGATATTGGTTTTGTTTCTCATCATTCCAGGCTTATTTGGTGATGTGGGTAAATAATTTTCCTACATTTTATTTAAGATACTGAGGTCCCGGAGGAGGGGGAGGGGTCAAATTTCTCTATATAAAATGAAAAATGGGACCATAAACATGAGATAACTGAACGAACTCAGAGTTTCATGGATGGACATTTCCAACGACTTTGAAAAGTTGGAATCTGTCAATAGACCTCGCCCCAGTGAAAAGTTTCAGACATTAAGGGTGCGTTTCATGGACGACAACAGAAGGGCGTGTGTATTTAGACAATGATTTGTTCATATTATGCAATCGAGAAAACGAAAGTTATTTTTCATAATTGTTTTGCTGCAGACAATGCTCTGCTCATGCGCAGTTGGTCCCTGTCCTCTACATTTTACCAATAAATTATTTAATCAATTGTTGGTCTGTTCACACTATCACCTGGCAGGATATTCTGTATAGTATGAACATCCATCCGATTGTGACTCTCCGTTTTAGAGATCGGCATTAGCCATTTCGGAGTTGCGAGGGAGCTGTGGCGAGTTTCAAGTTTCAACTAATCGATAAACTGACACCATCGTATAAAAGGTCATGTTGAGATTGGTCATTTGACAAATTTTGGTGCTCTAAAGTTGAACAGGGATCAAGTTATGACTCTTGAAACATGTTAAAGATCAATACAAACGTCTATAGTTTTGTGACAGCGTCCCCCAAAACCATATAAACTCTTTAAAATGTTTCAGTTTTTCTTTTAAACTGTAAAATTCGTCATATGTCTACTGATTGGAAGGAACTAATTCGAAAATCACTGTGTTTCCCCATTTTTAGGAATATCAAGGAAATCGTTAAAAAAATTAAGGGTTTATTTTGGGGGACGCTGTCACAAATTAAAATTAGAGGTTTGTATGGCATGTTTCAAGAGTCGTAACTTGATCCCTGTTCAACCTTAGAGCACCAGACTTGGTCAAATGACCAATCTCAACATGACCTTTTATATGGTGGTGTCAATTTATCGATAAGTTTAAATTTGAAACTCGCCCCAGTTCCCTACGCAACTCCGAAATGGCCAATAGGCGGGCGCAGCTTCACTCCGTCACAGAAATCGCGCCGCCACATCCATTTTTGTGTGTGAACAAAAGTCCTATCGGGTATGGTTTTCGTGGAGGAGGAAAAGCTATACGGTGACGAAGCCTCATTGTCTCAGTGTCTCGCGTATCAGCGGTTATTTGTGTGATAAATCGCAATATTTTGCTCTCCCTCGTCCAAAAACTGTTTATTACTGATACATATTTCAGGTGCAACTTGTAAGAGAGAGATGCAGTTGTACTTCTGCGAAAACGATTCACATGTGCTCACTTGCGGTCCTTGGAAGATCAATATCCTTTCTGCAAACTACGGTCGTTTGACTGGAGCTCAAGTCTGTGGCTGGGGAAAAATAAAGACCACTTACTGCAAAGCTAATGGAGCACTTGCCAAAGTTCGAGCTCACTGTCAGGGACGTTCACATTGCACATTACGGGCAACCAACAGCGAGTTTAGTGATCCTTGCCCTGGAACTTACAAATATCTAGAGGTAACTATTTTTGTCAGCCTAGCTTTATTTAGCCTTGTTCCAAAGGGATCGCTTTTTTTCTTTGTCATTGTCAAGTTCGTCACACAAGAAGAATAGAAGAAGTCGTAGCCTGAGTAACTTGTTTCTTTTTTAGTGGAGGGGGGAGAGAGGAACGAAAAGGGGAAAAGGGGAGATAGAGAAACCCCTGACACAAAACCTAAGGGGGTCCATCTTCCCGCCGCATTTACCTAGTATTTGCAGTTTTCACCTCCTTTTTTTCTTGACTTTCCTGGCCACTTCAGCCCTTTTTCTATTGTGAAGTATTAAGCGATGTTGTCTAATCTCCCCCAATTTCTTCCCATTCTCTCTCATTGAGAATCCCCACCTCCCCGGTACCTTTCCTTTTCCCGCCTCCCACACCCTTCCCCTGTATTCTCCCTAGGCCACTACCCCCCCCCCAACCCCTGTCCTCCCTCACATCAGTGTGGAACAGAAAATTGAAAAATGGAAATAAGATGGGTAAATATCTACATCGGACAACGGATTTCTATAGTTGTACATATTACTGGTTATTGAATATGCTATCCTTTCTCTATTTTGATCCCTTTTGGACTGTTAGAATGGGTACCGTTAATAGCTTGATGGCAGCAAGCCTTGATTTCATTTGTTGATAATGTGTACTAACTCATGTCCGCTGAATTCAACAGATTCGCTACATATGTAAGGAGTGACGCCAAGACTCTGGTTCAGCTAAAAACGGTGGCGTGAGCCGTTAGTAGTGATCGAAAAAGACAACCTTCATTAATAGCTGTGCAAAGAAAAACGCCACTTGACAATTTAGACGACTCATGTAGTTTGCTTGGAAAGAAAATCATTAAACTTCTTTTTGAACGAGAATGTTGTACATCGATATTTTTTGTACCCCCTTTTTTTTACTGTTATAGCATGGCGCCATTTGTTTTAGAACCTCGTTTGGTTCGCGCTTCCCTTCGCTCGAATGCAAAACGCGAAAAAATAACGTCTGTTGAACAGGCTATAATGTTTTGCTTTCCTCGCGTGTCCCGCTTGGTCAAAAAAAAGGAAAAATAGAGAACAATCTTGCCAGCTTAAAGGAGATAGATAACTTTAAAATTATCCTGGTCAAATTTCAGCACCTTTTGCTCAAACAATGACTAGCTTTGCTCAGTAAATAAAAAAGCCGTTCAACTTAAAGAAAAACGTTTAGAACGGGATGGCGAGAGACGAACCGAGCTTAGAGTTAAGCTCATGAAAAGTTCGAAATCTGGCTCGGTTGAGTTCGTCTGAATGAGAGTTTGGATCCTCCAACACGTCTATGCTATAAATTTTAAAAAAATTATTTGATAATGTATATTTAGCCTGGTTTGGGAGAAAATTAAAATTGTTTTTTGGTCTGCTTCAGTTGGTTGGTTCGACCCGTCCCGAAGTTTGACGTCTGACCCAACAAACGATCTTACCTTAATTTAGGTCGACCCAAATTAGAATTTGGTTCGTCTCATGAAAAGTTCGACGTTTGGTCCAGACCTTAGAGTCAACAAATTTGGCTACGTTTACATACACTAGATAAGATTCAGGAGATTTTGCTTGATTCATTAATGTTTCCGGTTTTACACAAAATCCGAGAAAATCAATATCTACTGAAGATTCCTCATCCCATCAGCGGAATGTCTGGTAATGTGAGTCAGAGGCACCTTGTTGTGGTAGTTGACTATCTAGTTATTCACTTCACAGTTTAATTTTTAACAATCCCCCAAATCCAATATTCTCCAATTTTCCAAAATTTTAAATAACACCCATTAATTTTTATACATCAAACTCGAAAATCATACATACATACATACATACATACATACATACATACATAACCTTTATTAAAGTGTCTTGTCGTTCTAGTGCCTATTGGCACTAATTGGGGACACCTTTAAAACTAAATTACATCATTAATAGAAACTAATTAAGTACTATAAAAGCCGGAAATTGACACTATTCAAGCTAAGTGCTCTTTTACACTCTAAAAACTAAGTTCTAGATTTAACACTTCGAAGCTAAGTTCGAAAATTTACAATATAAAAACTAAATGCGTATATTAGCTCGGACACTGAAATGAATAAGTAAATATGCGTACGTCCTCTTAATCTAAGCATAAGCGGCATTCACTCCCACATCCCTCAAGAAATGATGTTACATCCTTCTTACGTATCATTGTCCTAAAAGTTGCCAAAGTTGCAATATTTCTCTCCTCCTTGCTTAGTTTAGACCATAATTGTGGTCCGAGAAATCTGAGAGAATGTTTTCCATAAGTAACAGTTTTAAACCGAGGTAAGACAAAATCTGCATTTCTTAGGTTATATCTCTTACTATTAATATTCTCCTCGTTGATATTAAAAATATCCGCAATTTGGTTCACTGTTAATTTGTTTTTTACTTTAAACATCAAAATGAGTATATCCTGCAACCTCCTATTTTGTAAAGTAGTCAACTTAGCTCTTTTCAGCAAGGTGTCATAACTTTCGGTAGTAGTATTATACACTAATCTTAAGGCTCTTTCTTGTAGACGCTCCAATTTACGACTATCAGATGCCGTGCAAAAATGCCACACTAGGTGGCAATAAGTAAGGTGTGGCATAATAGCTGATTTGTACAAAAGTAACTTGGCATTTACTGGCATAAGATTTTTAAGCCTTCTAAAAACTATTAATCCAAGAACTGCAAACTAATTGAATCATTTTTCGATTGAATGAAATATTGGCCGATATTTAAGAAAAAGGGCAGAAATATGCGAAAAGCAATGCTTTAAACCAGTGCTTAAAAAAAATAAACGGTCTTACTAGAAGTTGTCTGTCGTGTTATCGTGACAACACTCTATGCACTCTTGTCTTCATTGAACTGACAATTTCTCGTCCCAGCTGTGAAAACGCTTGTCACCAAACGTTCTCCCCAAGGTTGATTCACATATTACCTATATCCAAAGGTAGCTCAAAAGCTCTTCTCGCTTACTAACGAAAAGAAAAGCTTATTTAACAGAAAAATTAAGAACAAGGGAAGCTTAAAAAAATAGAGCTGAGACTATGGCTCGAACTGATGTTTAGTACTTCTGGTTAAACACAGATTTAGGACGCCGGGTTAGCTTTCATTTACTACAAACTCCAAAGAGAAGCTGAGAGAGAAAATATATAATGCAGCGATTATGGTTTGTACTAGTGTATGGCGATTACGGTTAAGCACTGATTTCAGATTTAGAACGGTTAGCCCCGTTAATAAACAAGAGCCGCCTTCTTTAGTCCAACAAGGCTTTTGAGAGGTCATCAAAGAACTGGTTAATACTGTAGATGCTATTATTTAATGTAGCAGTTGAAAATTTTCATTATCGCTTACCCAGTTTTATTTACTTCACTTACACCAAGAAGTAGGCTTAAGAAAATATGGACTAGCTATAGTCTTTCGCCCCCTTGTATTTTATCTTTTAAGCCTTAATATTTAGTTTAATAATCGTGTGGCTTTTACGAGGAAAGCTACGTTCAGTTTGTAAACAAATTGTGCCTTTTGCTTCGAACAATAAACATTCGCTCTTTTTTCAGGAACGCTTATGCGTACATGTTTACTTGTAGCCACGGCTTGGCTTATGCTAAATACACCTTTTCAAATATAGGAAGCTCCAACTTACAATTCTAGTGCGATAAAAAAAAGATTACATCTGCGAAGATTTTTCCCGTAATCACAAAGTACAATTACACGCTGTGAAGGTGGTCTCTATCGTTTAAGAATAAAAGCCCATGCAATTAAATTCGTACTTTTATATGATATGGAATCCGTCGGGAACAATTTAAAAAAGATACACTGCTACTGATCAATACATGTCAATTCACTAACGCATTCATTGCAAAAAAAGAAAGGAAGAACCAGTTGAGCGCACTTGTATGTGAATAGTTAGCGATCGATAGCCAGCACGAACTGAGAAAGGTTTCGCCGCCAGTGTTTCTGTTCCACGTGAATTCGACCTAAGGCGCCTATACCCGTCCCAGTGGCCTACCAATAGGATCAAGAATAATTTTTCAATGGCTTTATGTTAGCACTGATATGTCTTGAATTTTATTGTTGATCATAAGTGTTTCAAGTTGTAGCTTAGGTGGTAACTGTACCTTTTTAAACTTAAATCTTATTTTTAAGCGTATTTATACCTCTATTTTTTTTATCCATTTTTATATTTTAATACATTTTAAATTTTATATGTAATACACAATTCAGCCATATACGGCTGGGACGTATTTTAATAAAGTGTCTATCTATCCATCAAGTTCAAGTTCTATCAGTTCTCACACGACATTGTCTAGCTTGAGTTGTTTGCTTTTCTGCTTGCTTGAACACTGTGAGTGTTTAATCTCACGCAATGATCCGCTCATTTTACTTCAAACGCCAGGAATTATTGTATTTACCTTGAATTAAATAATTCTGTTTGAACTTCTGCGCGCATGAACAGCGCTTGATCGCACACGATGGTCTTATTTTAACCCTCGGACGTACACCCAAACTCGCACCTCCACCGGCCACCGCGGTACCAATAGGGGGCTGACTGGAACCCCCTACCTCTAGCGTTTTCGTCTTTTTCTATTTTATATGCGTTTACTTTTTTTGATAAGATTCACCTTTAACAGATATAGGGGCTGTCATATCGTTTACAAGAATATGTTAATATTACGGGATACATACGTACGTAAGTAGCGCTGCTGGGGGCCAGTAACGTCATCTAGATTTTAAGCTTGGCTACGAAAGACTGCTCCGAAATACTAAGATGAAAAGAAAAAAAAAGGGAAAATAAAATTGTGGTTAAATAATGTGCCAAACAGGCCGTGCATCGACCGAAGGGGGAGGGGAGGGGGGGCTAGGCAGTTAGTGGAAATATTTTTAATATCAACAGTATAAATTAGATATATTGGACTGTTACTGATCTGAAAGCCGAAACTTGAGTGACAGCAGTTTTGTTCTTTCCATCACCTTACTGATAGCTAACGATCTTCATGGATATTAATACAGTTTGCCAGAAGTGGATTTAACTCATGAACGTTTCGAAACAATGTTTATAATGCTTCACTTTAATTTTATGAGTGTATCAAGTTGAAGAGAAACAACTGAACCAGTTGAGGAATGAGTAGCCCCTGTCCCATTGTTTTATTGTATTACATATCAGACGTTCAAGAAAACTCGTATACCTTAATCAGGAAAATTTGCCGCTAAAACGTGTCAGGATTAATCCGGCTTTATATAACACCTTCGTAACGCTTGTCTTCTTTTTAGTGTGGTTCCTCTTTCAGCTCCTACTGTGATTCAGAGTAATCACTGTAGGTCAAATTCTTGCTGACAGTAATAAATTCTGAAGGGGGTACACACCTTTTTAATTTTTTTTTTTTAAATGAAATCACTTTATTAAATAAGCTGTTAAGTGGTTAATCAGCAAGATAGAGTAGCCATTTTTATAAAGAGTAGTTAACTTGCAATCAATCCGGAGTACCCTTAACACTGAGCAAACAGTGATATTGGACTTTCGACCACTTGATAGTAACACTTCAGACACTTGAGAACGTCTCGCGACCAAAGTCACGACAGGGTACGCAATGAACTGTTTGAATTATATTCAGTTGTGTTGTTTGCACTTGAATCATTGCTTTGTTCAATGTTATATTTTTTGTCCGAGCAATTTGTCAGTTAGTTGAGGCTGTATTACAAAATGTCGACAAAAAACAAAACAAAATCTATCATCAAAACTTTGTAAAAACTAGAAAATTTAAATTTGGCTTCTTCATCAGCAGGATTCTTTCAATGTTTTCGTTTCAAACTGAAACCCGTTTGCCAACAATGGAAAATGAATCTGCTTTAGACAGAAATCATTTTTAAGATACTCATGAGATAAAGCCGTGTTACCTGAAGGTTTAAGTGCAGTCACTCTTATTAAACGTCAATGCTTACTATCTTGGCAGTTAGTAACCTTCTACGCAGGCGATGGAGCTCTTATTTCGTCCCTCACGAAATACGAACTTCCCTAAAAACGCCTGCGTGGGGGGGCTAGGCAGTTAGTGGAAATATTTTTAATATCAACAGTATAAATTAGATATATTGGACTGTTACTGATCTGAAAGCCGAAACTTGAGTGACAGCAGTTTTGTTCTTTCCATCACCTTACTGATAGCTAACGATCTTCATGGATATTAATACAGTTTGCCAGAAGTGGATGTAATTACTCATGAACGTTTCGAAACAATGTTTATAATGCTTCACTTTAATTTTATGAGTGTATCAAGTTGAAGAGAAACAACTGAACCAGTTGAGGAATGAGTAGCCCCTGTCCCATTGTTTTATTGTATTACATATCAGACGTTCAAGAAAACTCGTATACCTTAATCAGGAAAATTTGCCGCTAAAACGTGTCAGGATTAATCCGGCTTATAACACCTTCGTAAGGCTTGTCTTCTTTTTAGTGTGGTTCCTCTTTCAACTCCTGCTGTGATTCAGGTAAAAAAATTTTACCTAGGCAGCGGCGACCCAAATGCCTGAACCGGCCTAAGCCTGTCATGTAAAAGTATTCGGCAAACAATGAATTCATGGATCGTGAACATAATTATCAGACGTTCAAGAGAACTCGTATACCTTAATCAGGAAAATTTGCCGCTAAAACGTGTCAGGATTAATCTGGCTTATAACACCTTCGTAACGCTTGTCTTCTTTTTAGTGTGGCTCCTCTTTCAGCTCCTACTGTGATTCACGTAAAAAAAAATTACCTGAGCAGCGGGGACCGAAATGCCTGAACCGGCCTAAGCCTGTCTTGTAAAAGTATTCAAACAATGCATTCATGGATCGCAAACAGGAAGATCAACTCAACGGAAACAAATTGATCAAACTTTGCGTTTACTAGAATGAAATCGTTGAATTGAGGGTTGTGATCTGTAGAAAAACCTTTGTGAAAAAGATTTGTTACACTAAAAAGTTGAATTATTTACTTGACGTATAATTTATGTTTCAAAATTGGTTTAGCATACAGAAACATGCTGTACCTTGACGTTGTGGACACGGGTTTTAAACTAGCATATTTAGACGTAACGACTTGAGGGTTCTTTCCGGCCACGTCACTGTAGGAACATAACGTTTTTCAGCCTAGTGATCCTATTGATTTGATTGGACCGGGAAATGAAGCGTTTGTCGTAAAAGTCCACCATTTTTCTTGACGCGTTCAATCTGCAGAGTTGTGCGGACTCGCAAGTATCGAATTGGTTATCGAGTGTCTTAGGAAACACTAACAAACGAAAGGAAGGTAAGGCGTAAGTCATTATGACAGGAAGTTAACATAGTTGTTAACATTAAAGGATAAACCATTCAAGTTCTATACTACCGTGCTATTCACCGGTTGCAAACTCAGTTTTAGGATGAAACATTTTTTCATTTTTTCATAGAGGTGATTCTACTACAGGAAAAGCGGAACCATGTTGCAGATATTGGTTTTGTTTCTAATTGCAGGCTTATTTGGTGATGCAGGTAAATAATTTTCCTACATTTTATTTAAGATATCGAAGATCCAGGGAAGGGGGGTCAAATTTCTCTATAAATGAAAAATGGGACCATAAACATGAGATAACCGGTTGAACGAACGTATTTACATCCAGATGGACATTTTCAACGAGCTTGAAAAAGTTGGGATCTGTCAATAGACCTCGCCCCAGTGAAAAGTCACAGACATAAAGGGTGCGTTTTATGGAAGACAACAGAAGGACGTGTGTATTCAGTCCTCATTCAGACAATGATTTGCTAATATTATGCAATCGAGAAAACGAAAGTTGTTTTTCTTAATTGTTTTGCTGCAGACAATGCTCTGCTCATGCGCGATCCGGCATAGGGTGAACCAAGCCTCGTTTGTCTAGTATATCAGCGGTTATTTGATAAATGGCATTATTTTGCTCTCCCTCGTCCAAAAACTGTTTATTGTACATATTCCAGGTGCAACTTGTCAGAGAGAGATGCAGTTGCAATTCTGTGAAGGCGATTCACATACACTCTCTTGCGCTCATTTTTCCAAGAACATCAGTATCCTTTCTGCAAACTACGGTCGTTTGACTGGAGCTCAAGTCTGTGGCTGGGGACCAATAAAGTCCACTCACTGCAAAGCTGATGGAGCACTGGCCAAAGTTCAAGCTCACTGTCAGGGACGTTCACATTGCACATTGCGGGCAACCAACAGCGAGTTTGGCGATCCCTGCGATGAAACTTACAAATATCTAGAGGTAACTATTTTTCTTAGCCAAACCTTTTCTCAGCTTGGTTTCAAAGGGATCTCTTATCTTCAATTTCTCATTGTCGCCAGGATTCTTAGCTTTGGCAAGTTTATCGATCTTGAAAAAGAAGTCGTAGCCTGAGTAGCTTGTGTGGAAGAGAGGAGCGAAAAGGGGAAAAGGGGAGAAGGGAGACTGAGAAACTACTGACACAAAAACGACGGGAGAAGGGTCTATCCTCCCCCCGCATTTACCTTAATTTGTATTTGTAGTGTCCACCCCTTTTTTTCTTGGCTTTCCCGGCCACTTCAGCCCTTTTTCTATTGTGAATTATTATTAAAGCGATGTAGCCTAATGTCATCCAATCCCGTCCTCCCCCACATCAGGGTGGAAAAGAAAATTCAAAAATAGAAATAAGATGCGTAAATATCTACATCAGACAACTGATTTCTATGGATGTACATGTTACTGGTTATTAAAATGCTATCCTTAACTCGATTTTGATCCCTTTGGGACTGTTGGAATGGGTACAGTTAATAGCTTGATGGCAGCAAGCCTTGATTTCTTTTTGTTGATAATATATACTAACTCATGTCCGCTGAATTCAACAGATTCGCTACATATGTGAGTGAGAACGCCAAGACTCTGGTTCAGTTAAAAACGGTGGCGTGAGCCGTTAGTAGTGATCGAAAAAGACAACCTTAATTAACAGCTGTGCAAAGAAAGTGTCACTTGACAATTTAGACGATTTAGCTTATGTAGTTTGCTTGGAAAGAAAATCATTAAACTTCTTTTTGAACGAGAATGTTGTACATCGATATTTTTTCTACCCCCTTTTTTTACTGTTATAGCGTGGCGTTCGTCTCATGAACAGTTCCACGTTTGGTCTAGGCCTTAGAGTCAACAAATATGGCTGCGTTTACACGACACTAGATAAGATTCAGGAGATTTTACCTGATTCATTAATGTTTTCGGTTTTACACAAAATACGAATCCGAGAAAATCCATATCTACTAAAGATTGCTCACTCACATTACCAGGCATTCCGCTGATGAGATCAGAGGCACCTTGTTGTGGTGGTGGACCATCTTGTATTTGTCTGCTTACTATTCACTTCATAGTTTAATTTTAACAACACCCAAATCCAACATTTTTCAATTTTTCAAAATTTTAAATAACACCCACTAGTTTTTATACATCAAACTCGAAAATCATCTAAAAACTATTAATCCAAGAACTGAAAACTAATTGGCAATGAATCATTTTTCGATTGAATGAAATATTGGCTGATATTTAAGAAAAAAAGGGGGGAAATGTGCGAAAAGCAATGCTTTAAACCAGTCCTTAAAGGATTCTTACTAGAAGTTGTCTGTCGTGTTATCGTGACTACACTCTATGCACTCTTGTCCTCGCTGAACTTACAATTTCTCGTCCCATCTGTGAAAACGCTTGTCTCCTAACGCTCTCCCCAAGGTTGATTCACATATTACTCATTTACAAAGGTAGCTCTAAAGCTCTTCTCGCTTACTAACGAGAAGAAAAGCTTATTTAATTTTTTATTAGAAAAAAATAAGAACAAGGGAAGCTTAAAAAAAAATAGAGCTGCGATTATGGCTCGCACTGATGTTTAGTACTTCTGGTTAAACACAGATTTAGAACGCTGGGTTAGCTTTCATTACTACAAACTCCAAAGAGAAGCTAAGAGAGAAAATAGTGTAGCGATTATGGTTTGTACTGATGTATAGCGATTACGGTTAAGCACTGATTTCAGATTTAGAATGGTTAGCTCCGTTAATAAAGAAGAGCCGCCTTCTTTAGTCCAACAAGGCTTTTGAGAGGTCATCAAAGAACTGGTTAATACTGTAGATGCTATTATTTAATGGAGCAGTTGAAAATTTTCGTGATCTCTTACCCAGTTTTATTTACTTAACTTATACCAAGAAGTTGGCTTAAGAAAATATGGACTAGTCTTTCGCCCCCTAGTATTTTATCTTTTAAGCCTTAATCTTTAGTTTAATAATCGTGTGGCTTTTACGAGGAAATCTACGTTCAGTTTGTAAACAAATTGTGCCTTTTGCTTCAAACAATAAACATTTGCTTTTTTTCAGGAACGCTTATGCGTACATGTTTACTTGTAGCCACGGCTTGGCTTATGCTAAATACACCTTTTCAAATATAGGAAGCTCCAACTTACAATTCTAGTCCGATAAAAAAAAAAAAAAAAAAAGATTACATCTGCGAAGACTTTTCCCGTAATCACAAAGTACTATTAAACGCTGTGAAGGTGTTCTCTATCGTTTAAGAATAAAAGCCCAATTAAATTCGTACTTTTATATGATATGGAATCCGTCAGGAACAATTTGAAAAAAGATACACTGCTACTGAATAAGTGTCAATTCACTAACGCATTTGTAAAAATAGAAAGGAAGAACCAGTTTAGCGCACTTGTATGTGAATAGTTAGCGATCGATAGCCAGCATGAACTGAGAAAAGTTTCGCCGCCAGTGTTTCTGTTCCACGTGAATTCGACCTAAGGCGCCTACACCCGTCCCCGTGGCCTACCAATAGGATCAAGAATAATTTTTCAATGGCTTTATATCAACACTGATATGTCTTGAATTTTATTGTACATAATAAGTGTTTCAAATTGTAGCTCAGATGGTAACTGTACCTTTTTTAACTTAAATCTTATTTTTAAGTGTATTTATACCTCTATTTTTTTAATCCATTTTTATATTTTAATCCATTTTAAATTTTATTTGTAATACACAATTCAGCCATATACGGCTGCGACGTATTTTAATGAAGTGTCTATCTATCTATCAAGTTCAAGTTCTATCAGTTCTCACACGACATTGTCTAGCTTGAGTTGTTTGCTTTTCTGCTTGCTTGAACACTGTGAGTGTTTAATCTCACGCAATGATCCGCTCATTTTACTTCAAACGCCAGTAATTATTGTATTTACCTTGAATTAAATAATTCTGTTTGAACTTCTGCGCGCATGAACAGTGCTTGATCGCACACGATGGTCTTATTATAACCCTCAGACGTACACCCAAACTCGCACCTCCACCGCGGTACCAATAGGGGGCTGGCTGGAACCCCCCACCTCTAGCGTCTTTCTCTTATTCTATTTTATATGCATTTACTTTTTTTGAAAAGATTCACCTTTTATAGATTCATCTTTAACAGATATAGGCTGTGATATCGTTTACAAGAATATGTTAATATTACCGGATACATACGTACGTAAGTAGCGCTGCTGAGGGCCAGTAACGTCATTTAGATTTTAAGCTTGGCTACGAAAGACTGCTTCGAAATACTAAGATGAAAAGATAAAAAAGGAAAATAACATAAAATAAAACCTAAAATTGTGGTTAAATAATGTTCCAAACAGGCCGTCCATCGACCGACGCTATATCTGTTATATGTGGTTTTCACTGATTCCGTGCGAAAGCGTTTTTAAAACTTACGGTTTAAGAAATTCCTTTTTGTCAAACAGTAGGCAATAAGAAGTGTCTATATAGAGCAGCCGCCTTCTCCAGTTTAACAAGGCTTTTAATTTCAGAAAAATAGGGAGTCTTTATTTAATTTTATAGATGAAAATCTTCGTCGTAGCTAATCTGGGTATACCTTAATTCAAATCAAGCTGTTGGCTGATAACAGTTACATAACTATTAACGATTTTACTTTTTCAACTATGATCAAACCATCGTTTGGTTTGGGTCTTATTACCTTTCTCCCTAGTTTTAGGAGGCGTACGTGCGTACTTCAGGTAATTAACTACGGCCCTGCTTACAAAATGCACATACGACTGTTAATTAAAGTTCATCTCAGTTATTCCAAAGCGATAAAGAAAGTTTGGTCCCACGAAGATTTCCCTCAAATATAATCACAAGGTACAATTAAACGTTAAAGTATTCTCTACCGCTTAATAACAAGAGTCCGAGGAATTTCGCACCATTGTATGTTACTTTCCAGTTTATAAAAACGGTACGAAGCAAATAACAACTAAAACTTGAACTGCTTCTGAATACGTGATAATGCGCTAAGATTGGCAAAAATAAAAACAGTTCTCACATAACTTTGTCTAGCTTGAGTTGTTTGCCTTTCTGCCTGCTTGAACAGACGAGTCGCGGATGATCCTGTCATTTCACTGCAAACACCAGTAACCATTTTGTTTTATTTTCTGCTCTTTTCCCATTTAACAAACTTCCAGTGTGAGAGATATTTAAACAGCAGTGCCCATCCTGAAGTACTAGGAATCAGATACGACGTGCGCACGTGCGTACAGCTTGCCACGCCCTTGATCACGAAATCTTTATAAGACATGTGACTCATAGATAAGACACCATTCTGTTCGTGGACGGAATTCCATCAACACTATTTCAGTGAGTTGCCTCATTCCAACCAGGTAACTGCTTTTTTAATACTAAAAGCTAAACTCACCCTTTTGATATAGCAAAGGCAGGCACATTACCAAGTCCTTAATAATTTTGTGGTACCCTCTTTTAGTTAATAATGACATTTTGCGTTTCTTTTTATCTAGACCTGATCTTCGAGATTTAATCATGAGGACCGCTTTCGTTTTCCTGACACTTCTCATGCTAGTCGTAGCATCAGTAACGGCCAGAGGTAGGTTATACCTAATTTTGGCTGGGTCTTCTGGAATTCAAGCACTAGCTTTTACAACTTTATTCGATAACTGAAAGATAATCTTATTAAAAATTATAATATCAATTTTAGTGGAGGGCTATCCCAAATTTAAGGAGTTTTAAAACAGTTTTGAATCAAAACCATATTTTTCAATAGCCATAGAAGTAACGTTTCCCTTGTCCGATCACAACAGCAGATTCCCCACTACTGATTTTGGATTAAAATTATGTCAAAATGTAGTTTTAAAAGCGATTTTTCAAGCTATTTGCTAGCTTTTTAAAAAGGCCAAAAGGTGTCTTCGTGGCAATTGAATTGACTGCTAAAAATAATAGCCCACTTTTGTTATTTAAGACTTAAGACTATATCAAAACCGTTCCCTGTTGTGCTGTAGCTACGGATAGCAAGGATGGACATGGATTGAAGATATATCATCATGAATCTCATGCTCAGTGATAAAGTTGGGCTAATGCCTGCAAAAATCACTGAAAACATTATTACGATTGGTACTTTCTTATGAAATTTGTGTGGTGTCTTCATTATAAATGCACGGTAAGAGAGCATTTTGTGCATAGTAACGAATCAAAGCTATGACTTTATTTAGAACAGAATTGACCGCAATATCCTCGTGGCATAGCCCCTTTGAATATATTACCATGACGATAACAAAGGTAGAGGAAATTTTTCAAGGAAGGAACACTTGATCTACGAATATTTTCTAGCCGCTGTATGTTTTTTGTAATTGAGAATCTCATTTAATTCACACTTTACAAGTTTCTATAGCCTCTCCGAAAACAGAAGCAATGAATACTGAAAAAATTCAACAAAGAAAGGTACAGTTTTCCAAGGGAAGTTTCCAATCACATTTCAACTCAAATTTCAGACGCGAAGAGTGCCCAGAGATTTGTAACAAGCCTTAAAGTTTACCGGTTAGAAATGTATTTGAAGAAAAGAATGGGTCTGAATAGTGAAATTTCCGGATTAATCATTTGATTGCTTCTTTTTACTCCAAGTTAATAAAAATTTACACAGACTCTCTCCTATTTTCAAGTTTAAAGTGACAGCTTTTTTTTTTCGCTTTCTTTGCTACAGGGGCCGTCTTCGTGCAAGGAGCTTTATGATCAAGGGTAAGTTGTAAGAGCTGATTTGGTCTAACATGTCTAAAACAAGAAACGGTTACAGGCAAATGGCATGCAGCTTCTTCGTTTTTATGTTTTTCACTTAAACCTTTTTGAAATATCGATGAGAAAGAAACAAGTGTTTTAAACGGCTGAGTTACATTCAAAACACCATCACCTCGTTGCCAATGGAAAAGGATGACATCTTGGATCACGTATATAGGACGAAATGACGACTTTAATTACAATGAAAGGTCGTACATGATCGAATTGGATTTGGTTTTACTACTTTTTTAAGGCAAAGCTCACACCTAACCAACACCAAAGTAAGGGTGGATTTCCATTGTCGCGTAAAAGTTCAGCATTTTCAACTTTTAAGTTAACGCTGGACCTTCCATACATTGTTTCTTTTTATTTTCGCGCGTAAAATGTATTATGTGCGCATGCACGTGAAAATTTAGCAACAGTGAAAATTCACCTTAAGGCTGACTCTTGAAACCTACTAACAACTAGTTTAAATTAACAACGAGGCATTTCAATTACAGCTCAAAGCAATTACATAAAAACGGCCCCTACTCGAGTACTGTCATGATCATTTCGGGTATTCAGTAACTGAATACGTCTCGGCTGTATTCTCGAATCTGCCAAAGTGAGTCTGTCTGATTGGAGGGAATTCAAGAGCGCGCCCTTAGGATAATTCTTCCGAATTCACATTATGACGAGGCATTGATACTAAGTGGCCTGCCGTCTCTAAAAAGACCGTAGGGCTGCTGCTTGCGAATCATTTATGCGTAATTTAAAACCATCCAACCCTGTATTTGGCCTTGCCATGAGTGGAAGGGTAACTACCGTTCACTCGTACTCGTTACGAAGCTGCCGGAGCTATAATAACAAAATGTGTAAGACAAAAGATTGTCAGAATTTGAATCTGTGAAATATTTAGATTTTTGTCATAAGATAAATGTTAATTATGTGTAATTTGCGCACGATCCTGTTATCCAGCTCTTACTCAACTCTACTCTACCCTACCCTACCCTACCCTACTCTACTCTATTCTTTTGAAAGTAGTTGACAAAGCTAATTATATAACATGGAGCGTGCCGTGCCAATGTTTAACACTCCTACGTCTTCAATTTTCAGAGAACGTAAAAAGTGGCGCGTATGACCTAGGGATTAGTCCCGGACCAGTTTACTGTCACATGGGAGATGGAAACTTTGGATGCGGAGAAGGAGGATGGACTACTGTCATGAAAATCGATGGTGCACAGGTACTCTTCTTTAAAGTTGTACTTTTTCATTGCGGACGACAAGGAGAATCCGCAATCCTAATATCTAGGTTATTAATACGCATGCGTCGCATGTATCAAGCCAGCATCCGTTTGGACTTTCACTAAGAATGAATGGAATCCAATTTGATCCCGCGTGTTTAGACCTTCCACTCACTCGTAATCTGATCACGCGTGTTTAGACCTTCCACTCACTCGTAATCTGATCACGCGTGTTTTGACCTTCCACTCACTCGTAATCTGATCACGCGTGTTTTGACCATGTGTCACGCGAAACTTATGCAAAGCACAGCCCTAGAGCGAAAGCGTTTTGACCTTCGATCGTTGTCGCCCGCACGCCGTAACCTTTGGTTATTACTATATATTACGCTTGCGTCGCATGTAGTTAGCCAGCATTCGTTTGGAATTCCACTAAGAATGTATACAATTTGATCACGCTCGTTTGGAACTTTCATCACTCTTAATCTGATCACGCGTGTTTTTGAATATCGGTCATATGAAACTTACGCAAAGCACAGCGCTGGAGCAAAAGCGTTTTGACCTTCGATTGTTGTCGCCCGTACTCCGTAACCTTTGGCTAACACCAGTTGCTAGAGCCGGAGAATCTATATTAATTACAGAAAAGCAATTTTTTACCCTTTAATTTCAGCCAACCTTCCACTACGATTCACATCATTGGAGCACCTATGGATCCAAATACCCACAAAATGGGACGACAGGATTCGACGACAAGGAAACCAAGTTGGAAACCTACGATAAAACGAGTTTCACTAAGATCTGTCTCGGCATGAAGGTAGAGAGCCAGACCAGATTTATCGTCATCAATAAGAAGGCCAAATCGCTGTACGAATTGATTTCTAAAGAGACATACGAACCAACCACCCTGGGACGTGACGAATGGAAGAAGCTGGTTGGACCTCAAGCTTCTCTGCAGAACAACTGTGAAAGAGAAGGATTCAACGCCAAAGGAGACAGGCGTTTTTTTTACCTTTCTAGAGCAAGAATTGGGATTATTGGAAACCAGGAAGACAACTGCGACAGCCCTGACTCCAGAATCGGCTTTGGTACTGGAGGACAAGAAAAAAAAAAGAGCACTCCGCGTCACAAAGAAAACACGTGTGGAAATGAGGCTCATTGGTCGTCAGATAACCGAGATCAGTCCATCAAGGCCATGGGGTACATCTTAGTTCAATGAAGGCTGAGATTTGCACAAGTTGACAGAAGCAGTCGGATCTTAAAAAAAATTAGAACAGTTGATTATTGTAATTAGTGGTCTTAAGAAAATTGAAATATAAGAGATGTGTTAAACTAAAGGTAAAATAAACGCTTGCATGCACTGTCGATCAAAAATGTTTTGTTTCTTTGATCTTCTTGTTTGGTCGGGACAAACTTGTAAGAAGAACCCGAAACAAACGGCAGAGACTTTTGCTGTTGCTTTCATTTGTTACCCTCTAGGATTTTATCCGCGCGCTTAACGCTACCACACGAAAGTGCTGCTAAGTAGCTTTCATTTGAATGGATCACACTTTAGGATTTCATCCAAAGATTCAAAAGTTAGAACCACCTTGTACAGCGTAATAAACAGCACCACATGAAAGTGCTGCTAAGTAGCTTTCATTTGAATGGTCACACTCTAGTATTTCATCAACACACTTTAAGCTAGAACCAAGTTGTACAGCAAAAAGTTTTGCTCAGTAGCAGTTTCATTGGAATGTGCACAATTTAGGATTTCATCCACTGTCAAAATAGGGTATCATCCGATCAATTCCGTTGTATACGGGAAAAAGCTTGCCTGAGATGTACAAACAACCCAAAACGTTTCCTATATATCATCAAAGTCGAACGGTCTTGGTTTACTGACATTCATTTTTCATTTCTTTCATGTCATATTTTTAAAGCAAAAATATTTCCCAATTGGACTAGGATTTTTACAAGGCTCCGCCTTGTATCTTAGGGAAAATGTGTCAAAATGCAATTGATTCGTCAAAATGTGACGATCCAAATTCGCCCATTATTGGGCAAGGGTAAATAAAATAACCAGTAAAAAGAAATTTTTTTTTGTTTTCAAAATTTTAAAAATGTCACGTCACTGAATCACCTCATCTTAAATTGTTCAAGTTTGTCGAATGTAATTCGTGCTAATCTCCTGCATCCAAAACCATTTAAATCCTTTGCAGTAAGTTATTTCGTCTTTCGCGTTTTTCTTTTTTAACTCTTTCAGCCCTGCTGTCTACTTTATAAAACGGTAGTCACGGGAATGAAGGCTGAAAAGATCAAACAGTACTTCTACAAAAAATGCACAGGGGAAATAAGATTTTATTTTTGTCATCAGTGTTAAAAGGGTTATTACATTTTTGGACTCCCTTCGACTTCCATGATTATTTTGCGCGTTGCCAAAAAAAAGTATCTTTTGTGACAGTGCTTCTTCAGACAGCGTTCGAGTGACCACTTTGAATGCTATTAGGACTTATATTATAAGAATTTTTTCAAAAAAGATTGAATTCTTTATTTTGAATAGAGGGCTAAGATTGCCTCTAGTTACGGGGAGACAATATCTCAGGAAAAGAGTCACAAACACGCCAATATTTAATTTAGTTTAAAACCAATGGACCTTTAAAATTTGCGATTCTTTCGGCCGTAAATCGAAAAGATCCCGCCGGTTAAAAAATTTGCCTGTACTCGTGTGTCGTTGCTAAGGCACTTGCTCAGCATACTGGCACCGCTTGAACAGCGAGCAAAACAGCTACAAACGACCGCTTCAGCATGAAAACTTGCAACCCTCTACTTAGCTTCCTGTTATTCTTACGACTGGATGTCAGAAGGTTTGTTTTCTCTTCAGTCCTAAATCATGGAACCAGCCCCGTATAAGGGAAGCCGGATTCGAAATCCGTTAAATGTTTGCTAGTAAAATCTGTAATCCTGGACTATGGAATCCGGAATACAGCTTAAGGGATCTGGAATCTCACTAATGATTGGAGTCGGGAATCAAGTTCGACTGGCAGAGAATTTCCGGTATTGAGTACCCGGAATCCAAAATCCAAGACTGTCTTGGATTCCCTTACATCGGGCGAACGGAACGGGTCTGATAACACAATATCGGTTGGTACCTTTTAGCTGGAACCTAATGAATGTGGTCGTAATATTGTGCTTGTGACAGGTACTTCACTGTATATCTAAGAAAGCCGCAAACTACTCCTTTACAACTCTGGTGACTCAGGAGGGAATTTCTCAGAAACAATTAAATTGTCTATATCCACAGAGTAACAGAGCCTTCTAGATGGATTAGTTTTCTGCGTTACGCTTTAGCATTTCACTCGTAAAAAAAAAACAGCCTCAATTGACGTTCTGGCCAGAGTGACTTTTTTCTTTCAGCAAACCATCAGCGACTAAGGAAAACTTAATTGATGAATTAACAGGAGCACGTTCACGGATGAATTGGATTGAGTTTAATTCGTTTGAATTAGCTCAGTTAAGTGAATTTGGACTCTATAGCGCTTCTCTGTAGAGAGATACTTTGTGGAAAAAGGTTTACAGCCTTAGCTAGTGGCATTCGTTTCCATTTTTGGTTTCTGTCATATTTTCTTTTAATGTTGTTATGCTTGCGTCGACAGTTGAAACGGAAACGTTTCAGCCGTCTCCGTGATCAAGTCTCTGTTTCCCCTAGTTAATTTTCATTCGTTCTTCAGCGACAAGGGAAAGTCATGCATGTACTGAAATGACAGCACGTCTATATGGCAAAAATCTACAATTTTCTTTCATATTATATCCGTTCAGCCACATGATAAATTTCCGAAGTTTTCTTTGTAGTCTCATTCGGTGTATCACGACTTAGTAGTTGCGGCAGGGAGCTTCCAAGCTTCTAAGGCAAAACATTTTAAGCCTACACTGCAAAGAGCTTTGGCAAATAGGCACGCAAGCAGTGAGTCTTGTTGAATCTGTAGTTACGTCTTGTAATACTTCTTTGCTTATTTTTCATAACATGATTACGTCGTTAGAAAAGGTATCGGTGCGCCATGTATATAACCTTATATATATAATCACATTTTCATGTTCAAAACAATTTCAACAGGCATCCCAATACAGTGTGGGCTCCAAACCTCCAGCCTGGAGCCTAAAAAGCCAACACACAGAGTTTAGCGCGCTGAAACAGAAGAAAACCAGATGGCTCTAAAAACTCTGAAACCGAATTTAGCACATTATAACTACAATAAATCGGCAGAGGCCATGCTGGAGGCCTGCAACTAAGTGCTCAACGGTCCACTCTTTGATAGATTGTGCTAACATAATTTTGGGCATAATTCGTCATTTAATACGAGCAATAATTTTCATCTTTTTTCCGAAAAAACTGTACTGCTGGCACTTTTGGCCAGAATTGTCATATACTGGTCATGCAACCAATTTTTTTGGCCCAAGATCAGTGTTACAGAAAAAATTAATTGTTTGTCTGCCTGTTGTCACATTCGTGGAGCTTACATGTAGGTCCTACAGGAAGTGACCCAGGATTAGGCCCAGGACCCTTTCCAACTCAACACATGCGCATAACTAGCTCGGTTACCCAAGATGGGGACTGCGTGCTGGTCAGTTTTTTATTTAATAGTAGTCAGACAATTAATTATGTACTTTCTAGAAGTAAATAATGTTAATGTACTCACGATTTACTAGTTTTTTTTTTTTTGCATTGTTATTGAGGGTTTTGAGTGAAAAGAGGAGTATTTGTTACGATTTTTGTCACTTATTTTATTCATTTTATCTCTTATTTTATTATTTTGCCACACAGAATAAATTACGGGGTGTCCCAAAAGCTCGTTCCTCTACTTTATAAGTCTGTATTTCAGAACGATTGGACTTGGTAAGCAAATCATTTCAACAAAAGTTGTGTCTTTCAATCTAATTCACTATTTTCATACTTGTTGTGCCATCTTTTGACTCGAATATTCGATATGTGTACTTCCGCGCCAAAGGTGCGCGTGCGCAGTATATTTTCCAATCACACATTTTTTGTATTTCATAGCCCGAATCACTCGAACTCCTTCCTTGTTTTTTTGTGAATATCACGAAAGATAAACCCCCTTAGCGCAAAAACGTTCCGCTGCGTGAGAGCATAAGCCTGTATACTTCTATTTACTGGCTCATCGGTTGTAGAAATTGCTAAAAACTGGAAAAATCCAAATGTTGGGTGGTAGAATGATCATGGAGAAATGAAGGTTTTGAAGGCAAGAAACTAAGGGAAGATCAAAAGCCCTGAATAAAGCAGCTAAAATAGTTTTAATGAAGGCTAAATAAAAAATCATGAGGAGACTCGACAAGGAAGCTCAGTCTCTCACATAGTTAGCAAGCCAAATAAAAGGGTCATGAAAAGTTGTTTGAAATGTTGAAAATTAGAGGCCCCTGAGATGGCAAAAAACCCTCTGCTTAGTCTGCCAATTAACGCCCAGCTTGAGTCAAATATGTAAAGAATTACAAAAGCCTTGCTGTGGAAGGGGGCCGGGATGATTATCTTTTTTGGATGAATGCCCGATCCGGCATAGGGTGAACAAAGCCTCGTTTGTCTAGTATATCAGCGGTTATTTGATAAATGGCAATATTTCGTTCTCCCTCGTCTAAAAACTGTTTATTGTACATATTTCAGGTGCAACTTGTCAGAGAGAGATGCAGTTGCAATTCTGTGAAGGCGATTCACATACACTCTCTTGCGCTCATTTTTCCAAGAACATCAGTATCCTTTCTGCAAACTACGGTCGTTTGACTGGAGCTCAAGTCTGTGGCTGGGGACCAATAAAGTCCACTCACTGCAAAGCTGATGGAGCACTTGCCAAAGTTCAAGCTCACTGTCAGGGACGTTCACATTGCACATTGCGGGCAACCAACAGCGAGTTTGGCGATCCCTGCGATGAAACTTACAAATATCTAGAGGTAACTATTTTTCTTAGGCAAACCTTTTCTCAGCTTGGTTTCAAAGGGATCTCTTTTCTTCAATTTCTCATTGTCGCCAGGATTCGTAGCTTTGGCAAGTTCATCGATCTTGAAAAAGAAGTCGTAGCCTGAGTAGCTAGAGTGGAAGAGAGGAGCGAAAAGGGGAAAAGGGGAGAAGAGAGACTGAGAAACTACTGACACAAAAACGACGGGCGAAGGGTCTATCCTCCCCCAGCATTTACCTTAATTTGTATTTGTAGTGTCCACCCCTTTTTTTCTTGGCTTTCCCGGCCACTTCAGCCCTTTTTCTACTGTGAATTATTATTAAAGCGATGTAGCCTATTGTCATCCAATCCCTGTCCTCCCCACATCAGGGTGGAAAAGAAAATTCAAAAATGGAAATAAGATGGGTAAATATCTACATCGGACAACTGATTTCTATAGATGTACATGTTACTGGTTATTGAATATGCTCTGATCCTTAACTCGATTTTGATCCCTTTTGGACTGTTGGAATGGGTACAGTTAATAGCTTGATAACAGCAAGCCTTGATTTCTTTTTGTTGATAATATATACTAACTCATGTTCGCTGAATTCAACAGATTCGCTACATATGTGAGTGAGAACGCCAAGACTCTGGTTCAGTTAAAAACGGTGGCGTGAGCCGTTAGTAGTGATCGAAAAAGACAACCTTCATTAATAGCTGTGCAAAGAAAGTGCCACTTGACAATTTAGACGATTTAGCTTATGTAGTTTGCTTGGAAGAAAATCATTAAACTTTTTTTGAACGAGAATGTTGTACATCGATATTTTTCTACCCTTTTTTTTCTACTGTTATAGCGTGGCGTCTTTTTTTTTAGAACCTCATTTGTCTCGCTTTCCTTCGCTTCCTTCGTTGAACAGGCTATGATGTTTTGCTTCCTTGCGTGTCCCGCTTGGTCAAAAAAGAAAGGAAAATAGAGAACAATCTTGCCAGCTTATAGGAGATAGATAACTTTAAACTTATCCTGGTCAAATATTAGCACCTTTTGCTGCAAAAATGACTAGCTTTGCTCACTGAATAAAAAGCCGTTCCATTTAAAGAAAAAACGTTTAGAACGGGATGGCGAGAGACGAACCAAGCTTAGAGTTAAGCTCATGAAAAGTTCGACCTCTGGCTCGGTTGATTTCGTCTGCATCATTCAGACGAACTCAACTCGGAGAGTTTGATCCTCAACACTTCTAAGATAATACATATTTAGCCTGGTTCGGGAGAAAATTAATTAAAATTGTTTTTGGTCTGCTTCAGTTGGTTTGTTCGACGCGTCGTCCTAAGTTCGACGTCTGACCCAACAGACGATCTTAACTTAATTTAGGTCGACTCAAATTAGAGTTTGGTTCGTCTCATGAACAGTTCCACGTTTGGTCTAGGCCTTAGAGTCGACAAATTTGGCTACGTTTACATGCCCTAGATAAGATTCAGGAGATTTTACCTGATTCATTAATGTTTTCGGTTTTACACAAAATACGAATCCGAGAAAATCCATATCTACTAAAGATTCCTCACTGCATTACCAGGCATTCCGCTGATGAGATCAGAGGCACCTTGTTGCGGTGGTGGACTATCTTGTATTTGTCTGCTTACTATTCACTTCATAGTTTAATTTTAACAACACCCAAATCCAACATTTTTTCAAGTTTTCAAAATTTTAAATAACACCCATTAATTTTTATACATCAAACTCGAAAATCATCTAAAAACTATTAATTCAAGAACTGAAAACTAATTGGCAATGAATCATTTTTCGATTGAATGAAATATTGGCTGATATTTAAGAAAAAAGGGGAGAAATGTGCGAAAAGCAATGCTTTAAACCAGTCCTCAAAGGATTCTTACTAGAAGTTGTCTGTCGTGTTATCGTGACTACACTCTAGGCACTCTTGTCCTCGCTGAACTTATAATTTCTCGTCCCATCTGTGAAAACGCTTGTCACCTAACGCTCTCCCCAAGGTTGATTCACATATTACCTATTTACAAAGGTAGCTCAAAAGCTCTTCTCGCTTACTAACGAGAAGAAAGCTTATTCAGTGGAAAAATAAGAAAAGGAAGCTTAAAAAAGTAGAGCTGCGATTATGGCTCGCACTGATGTTTAGTACTTCTGGTTAAACACAGATTTAGAACGCCGGGTTAGTTTTCTTAACTACAAACTCCAAAGAGAAGCTAAGAGACAAAATAGTGCAGCGATTATGGTTTGTACTGATGTATAGCGATTACGGTTAAGCACTGATTTCAGATTTAGAATGGTTAGCTCCGTTAATAAGGAAGAGCCGCCTTCTTTAGTCCAACAAGGCTTTTGAGAGGTGATCAAAGAACTGGTTAATACTGTAGATGCTATTATTTAACGTAGCAGATGAAAATTTTCATGATCGCTTAGCCAATGCTTTTTACTTAACTTATACCAAGTAGTTGCCTTCAGAATATATGGACTAGTCTTTCGCCCCCCAGTATTTTATCTTTTAAGCCTTAATATTTAGTTTAATAATCGTGTGGCTTTTACGAGGAAATCTACTTTCAGTTTGTAAACAAATTGTGCTTTTTTTGTTCGAAGAATAAACATTCGCTCTTTTTTTCAGGAACGCTTATGCGTACATGTTTACTTGTAGCCACGGCTTGGCTTATGCTAAATACACCTTTTCAAATATAGGAAGCTCCAACTTACAATTCTAGTGCGATTAAAAAACATTGCATCTGCGAAGATTTTTCCGTAATCACAAAGTACAATTACACGCTGTGAAGGTGTTCTCTATCGTTTAAGAACAAAAAGCCCAATTAAATTCGTACTTTTATATGATATGGAATCCGTTAGGAACAATTTAAAAAAGATACACTGCTATTGATCAATACATGTCAATTCACTAACGCATTTGCAAAAAGAAAAGTTCAGCACACTGCATGTGAATAGTTAGCGATCGATAGCCAGCACGAACTGAGAAAGGTTTCGCCGCCAGTGTTTCTGTTCCACGAATTCGACCTAAGGCGCCTATACCCGTCCCAGTGGCCACCAATAGGATCAAGAATAATTTTTCAATGGCTTTATGTCAGCACTGATATGTCTTGAATTTTATTGTTGATCATAAGTGTTTCAAATTGTAGCTTAGGTGGTAACTGTACCTTTTTAACTTAAATCTTATTTTTAAGCGTATTTATGCCTCTATTTTTTTTCATTCATTTTTATATTTTAATACATTTTAAATTTTATATGTATTACACAATTCAGCCATATACGGCTGGGACGTATTTTAATAAAGTGTCTATCTATCAAGTTCAAGTTCTTTCAGTTCTCACACGACATTGTCTAGCTTGAGTTGTTTGTTTTTCTGCTTGCTTATTGAACACTGTGAGTGTTTAATCTCACGCAATGATCCGCTCTATTTTACTTCAAACGCCAGTAATTATTGTATTTACCTTGAATTAAATAATTATGTTTGAACTTCTTGCGCGCATGAACAGTGCTTGATCGCACACGATGGGCTTACTTTAACCCTCGGACGTACACCCAAACTCGCACCTCCACCGCAGTACCAATAGGGGGCTGGCTGGAACCCCCCACCTCTACCGTCTTTCTCTTATTCTATTTTATATGCGTTTACTTTTTTTGAAAAGATTCACCTTTAATAGATATAGGCTGTCATATCGTTTACAAGAATATGTTAATATTACGGATACATACGCACGTAATTAGCGCTGTTGGCCAGTAACGTCATTTAGATTTTAAGCTTGGCTACGAAAGACTGCTTCCAAATACTAAGATGAAAAGAAAAAAAAGGAAAAATAAAATAAAAAATAAAACCTAAAATTGTGGTTAAATAATGTTCCAAACAGGCCGTCCATCGAACGACGCTATATCTGTTATATGTGGTTTTCACTCATTCCGTGCGAAAGCGTTTTTAAAACTAACGGTTTAAGAAATTCCTTTTTTTCAAACAGTAGGCAATAAGAAGTGTTTATATAGAGCAACCGCCTTCTTCTCCAGTTTAACAAGGCTTTTAATTTCAGAAAATTGGGAGTCTTTTTTTTTAATTTTATAGATGAAAAACTACACGGTAGCTAATCTGGGTATACCTTAATTGAACTGTTGTTGGCTAATAAAAGTTACATAACTATGAACGATTTTACTTTTTCAACTATGATCAAACCATCGTTTGGTTTGGGTCTTATTACCTTTCTCCCTAGTTTTAGGAGGCGTACGGGTACCTCAGGTAATTAACTACGGCCCTGCTTACAAAATGCACATACAACTGTTAATTAAAGTTCATCTCAGTTATTCCGAAGGATAAAGAAAGTTTGTCCCACGAAGATTTCCCTCAAATATAATCACAAGGTACAATTAAACGTTAAAGTATTCTCTACCGCTTAATAACAAGAGTCCGAGGAATTTCGCACCATTGTATGTTACTTTCCAGTTTATAAAAACGGTAATGAAGCAAATAACAACTAAAACTTGAACTGCTTCTGAATACGTGATAATGCGCTAAGATTGGCAAAAAAAAAAACAGTTCTCACATAACTTTGTCTAGCTTGAGTTGTTTGCCTTCTGCCTGCTTGAACAGACGAGTCGCGGATGATCCTGTCATTTCACTGCAAGCACCAGTAACCATTTTGTTTTTATTTTCTGCTCTTTTCCCATTTAACAAACTTCCAGTGTGAGATATTTAAACAGCAGTGCCCATCCTGAAGTACTAGGAATCAGATACGACGCGCACGTGCGTACAGCTTGCTACGCCCTTGATCACGAAATCTTTATAAGACATGTGACTCATAGATAAGACACCATTCTGTTCGTGGACGGAATTCCATCAACACTATTTCAGTGAGTTGGCTATTCCAACCAGGTAACTGCTTTTTTAATACTAAAAGCTAAACTCACCCTTTTGATATAGCAAAGGCAGGCACATACTAAGTCCTCCATAATTTTGTGGTACCTCTTTTAGTTAATAATGACATTTTTGCGTTTCT